TAACCCAGGATATTTATTTAAAACATTTCCCGTCCAGAAACCAAAACAACTCTGGTCTTGTTTCACAGCTCCCTTTGTGATGCACATGTGTTGTATGTTTGTATCAGTATGCTGTGGATATGTACACATGCGTAAAAAACATGATATGTATTGTATTTTTATGGTGGTGTTTTAAGTATATATATATCCATGTAAAGGTAGTGTTTTTTTAATCAATATTTTTAGGGCAAAACTCAAAACTTGGAAAGCCTTCTGTTCACATCAAGTACTGTTCACAATAGTAATTTAACAGATGACATAGGATTGTGGTTAAGCATTTGATTTTGTTGGTTGCCAGGCAGTATAGAGAGAGGACCTAGTGAGCTACACTTCACTACTGCTTTGTGCTAGGGTGACTGCTGCCTCAAATCTGTCAGATCTGCAGTAGTCATCACACTAATCCACTTTGCTCTGATCTAAATTAGCTTTTAATGGTAGCTTTTTTTTTGAGATTTATGTAATTTTGACAGCATTGAATTAAAGAGAAAATAAATAAATACCAGAATATTATGAACAGCAAAGCATTTGTTGAAATTCATCCCCATTTACTGCAGTTTTTTTTTAGAAATCATTATATGCATACAATTCTATCAGTATGCAGAAGCATTCTTTTAAGAAAACTGTAGGTGATTATTGTGTCTTTGAAGTTTGCCGGTGGTCTCCAAAACAAGGGTTGAAATAGGGTGTAATTTTTGTTGCTTGTGCAATTGCTCAGGAGTGTCTATTGAAAATACTGCATTTGCAGAGGATACCTATAAAAGCCCTGCTGTGGTGTGGTTGAAAATGAGAGGATCACATTGTGAAATTTCTTGTCTGATGAAAGTTTGATACGTTCCTAGATATTTATAGCTACTGCTTATATCATCGCTAGAGGGCAGTAAATACAAACACTGAAGCAGGTATTTTACCAGAAAGTACTTTGTTTTGGGGGTTTTGTTTTTGTGGGGTTTTTGTTGTTGTTTTGTTTGTCTGTTTGTTTTGTTGTGTTTTTCTTGATTTTTTTTTTTGTCTCCTCAAGTAATAAAGGAGCCTAATTCTGTAATAAACAGCTCAGCTCCTGGGTTTTACTATGTTTTTCCCCTAAAATAGTTCAGAAGAGCATTGTCATTTCAGTCTTTACAGGAACATAGAGTTCTCACATTTGATACATGAGAATTGTATAGTCCCAAATAAAAAAACTGTAAAATGGTACAGTTAGGGTATTTCATTGTGTTTAATGAATGTAATTCTGACAAGTAACAGGCTACCAAGAAAGCCTTTTTAAAGCAGCATAATTATGCTACAGTTAGGATCCTTAAAGCTAAGGCTCCTTCAGAAGAATTAGGGATGTGTTCTGATTATAGCTATTCGTTCTCAGGCACCACTGGATTTCATCTCTTCTTTCGTATGTGCTGTATGTAGTAACATTTAGGAGAAGAGACACACTAGATCTGTATGCCCTATTCCATCACCAGAGTGGCCACAATGGTATGTTTAGAGTATCTCTCTTTTAACTTAGCATTACAGAAGATGCCAATTTTGGGGGATCACTGCAGGTCAACTTTTTATGTTGAGGACACCAGAAAAGAACATAGAACTGTTGGAACAAGTCCAGAGGAGGGCCACGAGGATGATCAGGGGACTGGAGCACTTCCCCTATGAAGGCAGGCTGAGAAAGTTGGCTTTTCATAAAGTGGTCTTAGGTCTTTCAGAGCCTGACTTGAAACAGTCTCTTTAGATGAAGACAGCCTGTTGATGTTTATTAGAAAAGGGTCAATAGTCAGGTTCTTAACCCATTTAATGTGTCCTCTCTCAACACCGGGGGTGATGTGGCAGAATATTATACAGTACTAAATTAAATGCCCTGCAACAGTCCAAGAATATTACATGTTCAAAGACATAAACCAATACTGACTGGCATTAATTACATCCCGGTGTCTTACTTCTTTATCAAGCAAATGACCACAGTATTTGCATTTAGCTTTTTCGTTATTTTACCCAGGACTGATACTTTGTGAGGTGACCTGAAGTTACTCAACCATCCTACTTGCAAACTTCAGTTGGCACAAAATTAACAATTTTTGCAGTCTTTCAAATTTTACTGAAGCTGAGCACCACAGCTTCTGGGATCTCTGCCACCTCTTTTCACAGCTCCTTTGGAGAAAGTTGTCCAGCCTTGTTGATTAAATAATGGCGAACATTTCCTGTGGGTGTTAAGAGAGACTTCATCATCTTTGCCTTTCAAGGTCATTGTCTTGATTCTTTCAAAACACACAAAATTGCTCATTCAAAACTTCCCTATTTCTGAATTATTTTATTACTCAGTTACTGTAATTTAAAATTAAACCATTTTTATTTCCATATTTGTCCTTTGATTGGAACTCTTGTAGAAAATGCCATTACTCTTCTTTACCCATGTTTTATCTTCATGGGTGATGTGTGTATGAAAACAAGAGCTTCTCTATCACATTGCTGGATTTCCACTTATCTCTATCTTTGTTTGTTTCTTATTTTAATTTGTTTAGGTATTTAGTTGTGCATGGCAGCTGTTTGCTATGCACTCATCCAGCATAACCTTCTCTAAAGCCAATTATTCACATATTCCAATCTGGGAATTGAGGATGAAAATCAGCCAAAGGTATTCCTGTAGATCAGAGCTGGTGTGAATTTCCCAACTATAAATTTCTCTGGTCATACTTCTATATGTAGCTGGAGTCAGAGGGCTGCTTTCTGAGTCAGTGAAGTCAGACTAGTAAATTGTACCACAGCAAATGTTAGTTTTATGAGTTTGAGGCTTTGGATCCTGGAAAAAGCATACAAATTAGTAATAGAGTGTCAATATCAGGCATAATTTCCTATTGTCGATATAGTTAATATGCAGCTAAAATATCATACACTGGAGGAAAATGTTTTTCATGGTTTTACATCAAAATTATCTAGCTAATAGCTCTATAGAAGAGAATCATAGAATAGTTAGGGTTGGAACGGACCTTAAGATCATCAAGTTCCAACCCCCCTGCCATGGGCAGGGACACCTCACACTAAACCATGTCACCCAAGGCCTCGTCCAACCTGGCCTTGAACACTGCCAGGGATGGAGCATTCACAGCCTCCCTGGACAACCTATTCCAGTGCCTCACCACCCTAACAGGAAATAACTTCTTCCTTATATCCAGTCTAAACTTCCCCAGTCATTCTTATGGAGTATCTGTCTCATAAGGTGGTGGGGAATAAAAAGTAATCTAGCAAGATCTTTTTATATGCATGCTAAGCAACTACTGTGTTTTACATAGCAGTGTTTTTAATGTTCCTTATCTGAAACAAGTTCTGTGCTCTTGGGGACAGTTAAAATTCAAGGAGGAACCTGTCTTTAAAATAACAAAGTAAGAGAAGTATTTAAAAACTTGGCTTTCCAATATCTGTTTGCAGTACCTACTGCAACCAAACTTTCATATTGACATGCTTCACTTTTTAAGTAGCCAGATATGTAAGGCCTGTTATTTCGCCAGTTTCTAAGTCGTGTTTGAAATTGCCTTCTGAAGGAATGCAGCACATTTTCAGTTGTTGGTTCAGATGCTGGGTAAGTGGCAGCCGTGCTGTCCTGCAGATGATCAGAAAATAATGCAGCACAGGTATAAACAAGCTTTGTTCAGTGTTACAAAGCTGATCTGGAAGAGTCAGGAGAAATGCTTTCCAGAACTACGTTTTTGGCTACCTGCTGAGTCTCTAATGACCCATGTCCGTTTTAAAAATGTAATTGTTTTATATTCATCTACCTGTATAGATCCAGGGTGCATATTATAAAGAAAATGCATCAGTAATGTGTTTATTCATGACGTTTTTATATTACCCATTCTAATCAAACCAGTATGCTTTCCATATGAAAGTATGTAATTGCAGATGATCTGTTGACTTTATCGACTTGTCACATTGCTATACGTTTCTTTCCTGTAAGGAAGAAATTTGTTAATATCATATTTTGCCCTATTGATTTTTCTGGGTTCAATTGTTTTTCAAGCACTTAGTGTTGCTGACACTGCTGTGTAGCATCACCCAGAGAAGTAGAAACCACTTCAGCCAAACCTGCTTTATGACGACTGTCGGTCAGCATCTTCCAGTGAATCAGCAGTGGGGGCTTATCCTGAATGCCACACCTCATTCAGCTAGTCCTTAGGTGTTTGCCCATTATCATGTTGGGAAGCTTTCCCTTCTGATGCAACAAAGACTTAGAAATTTGCTGCCATTGTATATGTGCTTTGCACAAAGTGGTACAAGATAATGCATTCTTTGTAAGTTTTGGTCTCTGAATGGCAGATGGTGGGATATTTTATTTAAGGCTCTGAATCAGCTCACTAATACACTCTGCTTTCAATTAATATCTTTTTTTTTTTTTTTAATGAAGTATAGCTTTAATTGATTATAATAGTCTGCCAAGGCAGAAAGAGCAAAAGTTGAGTAAATACAGAGAGGATTTGAGGACTCTTATTTCACTTTTCCATATAAACTTAATGTTTACTGGGTGCTAAGACACATGGGTGACTTTATCTTAATAATAACTGCTTCTATCTCCTAAGATAAAAAAGCACTAGAAACTGGCAGACTTGCCCAGTGGTCTAACTAGATTTTTTTTTTTTTTAATCCAGATGGCCAAAACATTTTCATCTAAAAGCCAAAAACATTTAACTACCTCACAGACTGCTCAAGAAGCCTGATAGCTCCATTTCTGCTGGGTTTTCCTCACAAAAAAACAAAACAACAGAAAACCAAACACCCCCCCCCAACTCAACTAACAAACAAAAAAAAAAAAAGAAAAGAAAAAACACTTCCATATGAAAAATTTAAATTGCTAGGCAATCCACATGTATAGAATCATAGAATGGTTTGGGTTGGAAGGGACTTTAAAGATCATCTATTTCTGCCCCCCCCTGCCCCGGTGAGGAGGGTTACACAATACTAATTTTAACTGCTTGGATGGCGAAACTATTGAAAGGAGCTGGTAAATGCTGCTGAATTGAAGAGACCTTAACCCAATTATTTCTGAATGGTGTGTGAATGCTGCAGGCGGGGATGCCATTATTAAATGGCATTTGCTGTTTAATAAAAAAAATACCCTATGCCCAGGAGACTCCCCAGCGCTGGCCAATGGGAAATTACCATGCATCATGTCACCAGCGGCTTGGATTTATATCTTTTAGGGTGACATACTATTGGCTGCTAGTTAGGCTCTATGGGAGGGATTACTGGCACCGTTTGTGGCTTCCCCTTCAGGTCCTTATTTGGTAGCTGTTGATAGAGCAAGTCTTTCCAGCAGCTGAGCATCTTGACATACATTATTCATTAAGTGCTGGTGTTCAGGAAATATGCATATCCCTAGCTCTTCAGATATTTCTTCAGCTCATACAATATGTCTCTTCAGCGTTGCCTCTGAATGCTTGGAGTTTTACAAATGGCATTTGTACAATCGGAAGACCACGCGGTTGGATTTCATTTCGGTGTGCCTCCTGTGCACACAGTTGCTGAGAACCTGAAGATCAGCAACGAGAATTAGAGAGAAAAGAAGGAATCTTTCTTCTTGGAAGTCTTTTGCAGTATCAGCAAAGAACTGATTAGCTTAGGTTGGTAGTATCGAAAAACAAACAAACAAAAAAAATAAAAATGCCTGAGGCAAACTATTTGCTCTCAGTTTCCTGGGGCTACATAAAGGTAGGATTTTGTTTTACCTTTTAAGAACCTTGATTTACGGTGCATGATTGCATGGTCACTGGATAGCATGAGTATTTGTGGGCGATACGAGTCATATGAACATAAAGTAAAAAATCAAAAGCAAGAGCAAGCCTTTGATCAGCAATGAGGGTGAACTGCACAGTACACAGTTTTCCTTAGAAACTGTGCTGGGACTTAAAAAATGTTGCTTCACTGGGTGATCAGACCAAGTCTAAAGCCAAATAAATTCAAAAGAGTTTTTGTGCTTTAAAAAAAAAGGCTGCTACAAATCTGTATTTCTAGACATTAAAAGATTAAAAAAAGAAAAAAAAAAAACCAACAACCAAACAATTACAAAACCTTAAAACTGCAATACTATACAATAGGGGACAGCATGGGTAAAGAGGCTGAGGCTGAGGATAATGAGTGAAAGCATGACTCATACTGGTTTTAATAGCTGAAGAAATGTGAAATTGTCAACAGTATGTTTCAGCAGCATTTTTTGTAGCCTGTGTGACAGCTTATTGATTAAAACACTGGAAACTGTAATCTTCTAATATTGATCTACATTTTTATGTAGAGCAGCTTTGAACTAGCTTGAAACTGCAGTTGTGCTAGAAAATGGAATTAAATAAGCTTTTATTTCTTCCGTGGAAAAGTTTTGCACCAAGGAATTTATATGTCAACATACAGAACTGAAATTTACTTAATACCAAACCGTGTTTGGGGTTTAGCCCTACTTAAGTGTTTGTGCTTAAAAAAATGATGTTGTCTTTATAACTGCTTCAAGTGTGTAAAGAGGGAAAAAGAAAGATCATCCTATGCTTGACATGCAGTAATTGTTCCAAGTCATCCCATTTAAAAGAAAATTTTGATTTCTCCTGAACTAAATAATGGGAGTATTAAATGGAATGACTAAAAATAATGCAAAGTTATACTAGCACAACTCAATCTCTTATGCATTTTTTATTAATATCTACATTTATAATTTATTTATTTCTTTCTGAATAGAAACACCCCCCCCCCCCCCCTTTATTAGGTCATTTTGTCCAATTAGGTCATTGTGACCATTATCTGCTAATGCAGAATTGTTACATTATATTCCTAAGGATTTTGATCAGTCATTTGAGAAAGAATTGAAGACCATTATGCTAGCTAGGTGGATTTCTTTGTCATTTACCAAAAAATAAGATGAAATTACTTTCAGATGAAAGTGAGGCATTTATTGTAATTTACCATGGAATATTTTCTGCATTTTCAGGCAGCTTGTGTCATCTTCCTACTTGCTAAATTAGAGAAATTCAATCAGCAATCTTCAAAAAATGTTCACTCTTAACAGTTCAGCCTTTAAAATGGATAGATTTTTGCTAATTGAAGTTCAGCAGAGAGCATGGTAACTTAAATTGATTACACATGGATAAAATGTTTTCTGTATCAGTTTCTGATATTGTCTATACACAATGAATTTAGTTAACACAGTTTTAGTACAGTGCATTTTGAGTTCACAGGATATGCATTATAGAAAAACTGTTGAGAGGCAAAGAAGATCTGCCTTTTGTGACATTCAAACCAATGATTTAGAGTATTTTTTCTTAAGAAATAATGAAATATATTAGGCTGGGGGATCATTGTAGATGTTTACATCCCTTACCATACATATATTTCTGTATGATACAGGCTGTACTTTATTTGCTCTTACGCTAATTAATGTCTTGGTAAATGGTTGTCATATGGAACATTTATCCCTTTCACTGAGTATCTTTCCTTGAAGCACTACTATCACAATGCAAAACTTAGAGATAATGTACCTTGCAATGGCTTATGTATAAAAACTAGTGCATGAGCTTGATATTAATTAAGCATATAGGCTTCCAACTCGAATCTTCAGTTAAGAATGATGTTTATATAGTAGGAGTGATGCTAAAATAAAAAAGCTTTGCATTGATAAGCAATATAAACAGAAGCCTTACATTCATTTGTAAGGCTGTCCTATTTTAAATTTCTTGGTTTTGTAGAATACAAGACTTTTCACATCCAATAAAATAATAGTTTATTTGTTTTTCGAGTTACAAAATATCTTTTTAAAATTACGTTGGTAGGTATGTATCAATGACAATTGCAGTCTTGTAAGTTTAATGCTCCAGGTGTTGAATGAATGTTCCATGGATGTTTTCTATTCATGTAGGCTTTTAGAAATGTTACCTAGAAGAGGCAGCCAGAAACTGGAATTTTATTACCATGTGAGCTTGGGAGCCAGTACAATGAAAGGTTCAGATGCCTCCATGGCCTTGGAGCTTGATCAATACTCAGACTGAAGGACAGACCAGATGGGGCCTTTTGGTCCATGGTGTATCTTTTAGCCTTGGCTTCACCTTCTGTGCTGGTGCCAAAGGTTGTAGTGGGAGTCTCCTTGGGATGAAGCACATCACACGTTCAGGAAGAGGCAGCCTAGGTGAAAGAGGCCCTGCCAAGATGGGGCATCCGTGCCAAAATGGTTCGCATGCTTTGTCTCACAACAGAACTGTTGAGGAAGTGTTGAGCTAGTAAATACTGGCATATTTACTTCTGCTGCTTGTTACTGAGTCAAAAACTTAAAACTTTTTTGTGTGTGTGTGAACAGTGTAATCAGTAAACCCCATTTATATTAAGCATGTAGTCCAAGCTTTTTCATGGCCATGAATTAACTCCAGATGGAGTCAAATTGAATAAAAAAATTCTGATTAAGGAAATGTTTTTAGGATTCTTTTTTTCTTTTGCTCTGTTGCTGTGACATCAGTATTCATCAGTGAAGAGCTGTGTGATTGCTTTAATGGGCATTTTATAGCCTCTTAAATTCCAGGGGGGATTTCCTAGACTGTAGTCAAGGACTGTGATATTCCAAAGGGATATATATGTCATTTTCAATCTAACAGTGCCTAGTGTTAACGTGGGAAAATCTTTCTTTCTGAGGAAGAATACAGTATATGCACAGATCCGTCAAAACTATCTGCTTCCTCCCCATGCTGAGCTGCCAATATCATAAATAAAGTGTGTATGGTATAAATCTTATTAACAAGAATTTTCATGTATTGTGATTGGTTTGGGGGTTTTTTTGGTTTGTTTGGGTTTTGTTTTTTTTTTTTTGTTCTTTTTTAAAATACCATCTTTACAGTTAGCAAGAAGGTGGTTTCATGTCTTCTTTGATGTTTTGAATAAAGTGCAAAGAGAGGATAAATAATAAGAGTAATTATCAGTATTACAAGTATTTAAGTGCCAAATTTCAGGCACTTAAAAGGTGTCTGCTTGATAAATGAAGCAAGGTTGATTCACAGATATAACAAGTTTCTCTGTGATTTGCTGCAAGGTCTTGTGGGAGCCATGTGACATGCAGAATTTCATTACAAAGTAGTTGTGGAGAGTTGACACTCTTTGAAACAGAAACTATATGTGGGTGCACTTGAGCCCAAATGAAGTTTTTGAGAAATAAGTCAAGAAGAAGTAGGGCTTCAGATTTGGTTCTATTGTGTTTTTTGGTTTTGATTGTTTTATTTTGGGGGGATGTTCTTAGAAAAGATACATTTTTCCCCGAAAGGCCAAATTATTAAATATCAGATGGTTATGTAACATACACATACACTGAAGCAGGGTATAATCGATAAAAATGTCTCAATATCTTGATCACCGTTTATGACTTTTGGGTGTTTTTTTTGTGTTCTCAAAGAGCATCAGTGTTCTGCATCAGGAATTGCTGTCTGGTGTTCAACTTCCTCTGTTTCAATATGTATGAGAGTAGTAAGGCTTTGTCAAATAATCAGAAAATTAAAACAACTCTCTAAACTCCTGCTTAGTCAAGATTTTTTTTCAAAATCCGTGTCAAAGTCTTGGTGCTGTGGCATCAGCAACATCTGCAAGAGGTGCAGTGAGGGTGACAGAACACTAGAACAGGCTGCCCAGGGAGGTTGTGGAGTCTCCTTCTCTGGAGACATTCAAAACCTGCCTGGACACATTCCTGAGTAATCTTATCTAGGTGTTCCTGCTCCAGCAGGGGGATTGGACTAGATGATCTTTTGAGGTCCCTTCCAATCTCTAGCATACTGTGATACTGTGAGGAAATCATGCTGCTGAATTTCTTCAAAGGCAAAGACTTCTGTTGAATTTGCTGTTAGCAGGAAGGCCTTGCAAAAGCTGGAGGACTTCTGCTGTGCACCCATATTCAGCAACAGCACAGACTGTTCTGCAGGTTTTGTAATGATGGTTGAGCTTCTCTGTTCTGGTGACTTAAGGAGTGATGGGAGATGGAAAGTCAAGGTTTTGTATCAGACTAGCGGGGATCATAGCGTTACAAGAAACTGATGTGCGCCTTCCACTTGTTGTGGACATTCATAAAGTAAGTACTTAGTTGGAAATTCTTGAAGAATTCAAGAAGTTCATAAGATGATTCCCAGAGATGATTCCCAGTATGCAATAACAAACCTATTTACTCCCTGCAGTGAAATTTGTGATTTGGAAGAGGGGAAAAAAGAAAAAAATCCTTCCTATTTGTTGTGTTGGGTAGCTGCAAACAAACATGAATTTGTTCTCCTTTCAAAGCTTGTAAACTTATAAGGAGATTTCCTGAAGAGTACATATCACTGGTGGCTAGATGGTCCTTTTCCAAAGTGTGGTACATGACCCAGGGGTGTTGCTGTGCAGCAAAACCAGCATGGCGAAGTTGGGCATCATCTAAAATAGCTTTACTAGGAAACAGCCAGACAAAACTGCTTAGTTGGTATCCGGTGAACTAGCTGTATTAAATTAAGAAAGAGAGATCATTGGAGTGGTAATGGATATACTGATGACATGCGTGGAAGTTAATGCAATTGCATCAACTTCTTATATTAAGATTTGTATGCACAATATTTAATTTAAAGCTGACAGTTCTGCATACCATCTGGAGATAAGTCATTCTGTGAGATCTTCAGGTTTTGCCTTAAATAATTCAGTTTCTTACCATTCTGGATCAGGAGAAAAAGCATGCAAGTGTGACTTAAGTATGTGTTAAAAGTTTAAATATGGGCTTCTAAAAATAAGATTTTTGGACCAGTCACTTTACTTTTTTTAACATTTGACATTGGTGACAAACATTAGGTCTCAGTATACAGGTTGATGTTGGATTCGTGTGGAATGTATAGCCCTATATTTCATAGTTTATACAGCTGTATTTGCGGTATGGTTCTAATTTCCATAAATGTGTTGAGCACTTGCTAGCACAGTTATATCCGAGATCAAAGCTGAGCCTTTGGCTTATGACTAAAGTAGGATTCAGTCTTTGTAGCTCAGGAGCTTCCTGAGCTGATGGCACGTCAAGATGGCAGGAAAATGCAGTGGCTAATGGTTAGAGTGTTATATTAAAGGTATTTTTTATTTGGCACACTGTGAGCAATACGGTAATTGGTGACTTACAAAGACATTGTGAAGAAAATAACACCTTTCACTATGCAAGGCCTCTTTGAAGAAAGAGCTTTGATGATTCCAGTGGGATGGAAAGGGGGTGGTTAATGTTTAGTCTACTGCTTTATCTCCTTTGAAGAAGAATAAATTGCCAGTGTTCAACATAGAGGAATTTTTACAGGGGCATATACTAAGGATAGCTATTGCTTGATGTAATGAAGAAAAAAAGGTGACAGATTTGTTAATAACAAAATGAAAGAATAACATAATGGGAGGTGAAATTCAGTAGTGACGGATACTCTTTATACTGGCAGTAGTTGTTTGAAAGTTAATAAGTAAGGCTGAGTTCTATTTATTGATAACCAAGGCAACGCTATAGTAAATGAAAATGCATATAAGATAACTAGAACTGTATTATGCAATTAACCTAACACAATGCCACAAAATATTCTTGAACCCTGAAGTCTAGAAGGAATCAAGAAAGGCTCAGTAATGACTACCTAATCCAGTTACATGTTTCAGAGAACCTTAACGTTCTATCCTATAGAGTGCCTAGAGTGAACTGCAGACTTAGAGGGGACAGTGTATCCACAGATGGGTGTTCTATACTTCAGTGCCTCATAAAAATACTCACAATTTTCTGAGATTGTGCAATGCTCAAGTTGTTGAGCTGATCCAGTGTAATAATTTTAAGTCAGATGCAACAAAACCTATCTCTATTCATATTGATATGTAGGTAATCAGTAAGATGTTTTGATTGTTTTGAGCAGTGTTGTCAAATATATTTGAATAGGTTAATGATGAGAGATAAACTTGGAAAATTACAAAATTAATAGTAAAAAAAATGCACAAATAAATTAATTTACAAATACAATAAGAAAATGATAGTAAAGAAATGGTCCTATGTAAGTAGTTTGTATTTTCTCTCCAAATTAAAATAAGAAACTTGTGAGAAAGTAAAGTTAATTACTTGTGTATACATATGTCTTGCAGTTTTCAGTTACTAGAAGGACCCTGTGCCTAACTGAATCACTGTAGAGTATTTTAGGAGGTATAAAATTATGTTGTCCAACTCCTGAATAATTAGTAGGGTATAACAATTCTGCATGTTATTTTTCTGCTTTCATAGCTCTCTTCATTTAGAATGTATTCTTCGTGTCATGTCGTTACCCCAATTACAAATTGACTGCGTTTTCTCATCCTAACTGAAATGCATCTTGATCACTAACTTCATGCTTTTTTGCTACGTTCTGTCTTCCAGTTCAAGAGAATGCTGAACCGGGAGCTAACACACCTATCTGAAATGAGCAGGTCAGGCAACCAGGTCTCAGAATATATATCAAACACTTTCTTAGGTAAGACTATAAGGGAAGTTAATTTTTTTGTCCCTTTTTCTTTTTTTTTCTTTTTTTTTGTTTAAATGTCTGGGCTGTGGTAGAGCTTAAAAGCAAATAGCCTTCCATATTAATTTCTCTTTTCAGAGACTGTACACTTAGTGTTTCATTGTACAATGTTTGAGCAGAAAGATCATATTAGATCCATTTCTCCACAGGTCAATCAGTTTGTGTATGTGGTTTCCCTGTGTGAGTAATTAGATAAATATTCATATATGTATTTTCACGTAACATTACAACTACTATATTGCTACCATATTAAGAAATGAATTTATAATGATCTAATTATATATTTAAAAGAATTCTCCCACTCTGTTTCCCATATGGAAGTTACCACAAAGAGGTTTCAGTGTGCTGGAAGCACACAAGCACAAGTAACCTCATAAAATCTTGTAGCACTCAGTTCTGATACTTCGGTGTTCCATGCTTGCCTATAAACAGGTAGATAAATATGACTAAGTCAACATCTGAACAGACTGCTGCCAGAAGAATTTGTGTGGCTCGTGAGCATTTAAAAAATATATCTAAATTAGGATAACAAGTACTTTAAAAAGCGCCAGTCATACATGTTAAGATACACCATGTTTATTTATATTCTTCTTTTTTGTGTTTTCTTTCTCTTAATAAGAAGTTATTTTAAAGTACATTTTATCCCCTGTTTGTCACCATATCCTAAATGGATCACTTATTGTGTCCGTTGAATTTACCCATGACTGCAGTAGCTTGCCTGAGCACTGTGGCACAGCAGGGTTTCAGACAATAAGGAAGGGGTTAGCCTCCATCATGGAGAGCTAGTATTGCACACTTTCAGGAGTCCTGAAAGTCACAGTGTACAGCTGCCTGCAAAGATGACCCACTTAAGCTGGAAGGCCTGAGATACCAGTTTCTGCTTGCCTTTGCTTGAAAGCTTAAGGCTTATTTTGACATGGTAATGAAATGCATCTGTCAGCCTTTCACATGAGACATCAGCCTTGAGCAGAAAACGGCCTGGAAGGCAGTCACTTCTAAGTTACTGAGCTATGGGTACTGTTTTGAGGCTATGTGAAAAACTAGGATACTTAGAATTGTAGTACAAGAGGAATGCAACGTGGAAAACACCTCATCTACAGAATTATTGTTTAGATAGGCTATTTTCAGTATGTGCAAAGTACATAAGTTCTGAGCCATAGTGTGAAGCGGGAAAACTTCTCTCCATAGAAAACTATAAAGAGTCAAGTTAGCTATTTTTTTAATACATAATTTATCTCCTGAACATCTACAGGCTTGCTAACATGTCATGAGAAAACAGGTTTTTCTGTTCTTCAAAAAAAATCCCATGACCCGACTGTTTTCCCAAGTAGGGGCTATATGATATGTATGAAGTTATTCATAATGACAACAAATATATTCCTTGTGTAAGAACTAAGGATCCTACATTGACTATAATAATATATAAGGTTTTTTCAGTGCCATTAATCTGTTTTCCTATGAATGGCAAATGTAACAGAACCTTCCAATGAGCACAGCGCAACTGGGGTCAAAATGGCAAGCTGTCTTTCCCAGATGTTCAGATGGGTGAACAATCCTTTCCCCTCTGTCCTCATAGTTACAAAAGCAGAGGCAGTCCCATGGAATTCCTCTGGGGATCTAAAGTCATTCAGGCAAACACTTCCTTTCACTTGAGTTGGTCTGACAGCTCAGCTTACGAACCTCCCTTTGATGGGCCTAAACTTTGTGAATATGACTGAAGCCATAAACATCAAAGCATGAACACGAGTCACTGATCCTCATCTGCTGTCCGTTTGCACCAGCCAAGAGCTGCAGCGCTCCGCCTCCCCCTTTTCTTGATTGTCTGTACGAGGAGAGCTTGGTGGGGGCAATCAGGGAACTCAGTTCTGCAGGCTAAAGCTTGGTGACATTTCCACAGTCTCTTGTTTTCTGTGATTTCTTTGGAATTGAAGTGCCCAGTAAATGAGACTGCTAAAGGGTAATTTAAAAAAAAAAAAAGGTAGAAAAAAAGAAAATGTGAAGAAGAAAACACAATAGCAGTCTGGTAATCAGGGATGGACTTGCTACCTTTGTCTGATTTCAGTGTCTTTATTAAAAATTACTATTTGCAGGAAGGAAAAAATAGACATGTTTTAAAGAGACCAAAGTTTTTTTTTAATTTTTTTTTTTTTTTTAGATTTGCTTTTGTTCTAAGGTATTTTTTTTTTTAAGTCTTAGTTTTTTCTAGGCTTCTACATTAGAAACATCTTTTCTGGATTTTCCTGTTTTTTTCTAGACTATTCCTTGAGGACCAGAAAAGATGCTGATGCATCTCAGCAAAGAAGAGATCATTTGGAGGGAGTCATTAAAACTTTATGTTGAAATGTAGTATGACTAAAAATCAAAATTAATGCAAATTCCTAGCAGGTTTGGCAGGAGAGTCCTTTGTTGCACTCTCCTGGGTTTCTTTGGGGACCACATATATCTGCAGTGGTCTGTACCCCTGTACTGTTTCTGCAGCAAACAGCAGGCAATTCCCTAAACATTCTAAATGTATTCTCAGCTTAAGCCTTGTCTAAAGTTTTGCTGGCACGTACATTGATGAGGTGTATGGAGTGGTGCTGCTGACACTGCTATGGAAGCAAAAGCTCACAGCAATTGCACTTGGGGTTTAAGGAAGCAGTCCTTTTGTTGTTATTACTTACTCTGGCTGGGAGGTAAAGAAATGCACTGTGCTGCTGGCGCAGGCTGCCTCTGCATGCAGAGTGCTTGTAGATGTGGCTGGCAGAAGGCTTTCCAAGTTGTACAGTCTTAACACAGTGAGGACGAGTCCCCAAGTATTGGGTCCTTTGAGTCCTGAAGAAGTTTTCTAAAGGTTTACATGAAATACTGTTTTGATTGGTTTTGAAATAGGTCTTCAGAGAATATTTTTCCTGGAAGAGAAGACATTTTGAATCTCCTTGCAAAACGGACACTTAGATTTCTGTTTAGTTGCAGTAACATTTTTATAATGAAATGTTTGACCCTCTCTACAGTGCTAGGGGATACAGGAGAAGTGGAAATCAGCCAATTTAAAGCCAGTTCAGAAATAATGAGGCAATTAATGAAATTGAGATCTGCTTTTACTTGTTTATCCGTTCATGGTTTTACTGCTCTTGATGTGAAGTATCTGTTGCAAAATCTCCAAACATAAAAAAAGTTTTTGTAAGAATTAAAATATCCATAAGATGCAATTCAGTGGTGAATTTGGACATATTTGTAATTGCTTTAAATATTATTCTTTGTCATTCTTTAAGACAAACAACATGAAGTTGAAATTCCGTCTCCGGCACAGAAGGAGAAAGAGAAAAAGAAGAGGCCGATGTCCCAGATCAGTGGAGTCAAAAAGCTCATGCACAGCACCAGCCTAACTAATTCTAGTATTCCCCGATTTGGAGTTAAAACAGACCATGAAGAGAGTCTTGCCAAGGTAGAGAATGTATAAAACCTTAAATTTAAATGGCTGAATTAAAACGGAGGGTGAACTTGTCAGTATTATTCTATCCTCTGCTCATAACCATTGATTTCTACCTGTAGCACCAAAGGTCTCACTTGAAGTAATACAAATTGGGTGAAGTGGAATAATAATAAGTAAAATCAGAATTAGGCCATAAAGGTTAATTTCCACATGAACAGAATTTCATCTGGAATGTAAGTTAGCATTTGTGTATACATTATTAAAGCTGCATATTCATAATAATATCTGAAGAACGAAGAGTAAAACCACCACATACTGTTACAAGAATGAAAATATATGGTAGGCCCATGTTTTTTGAAAAGGCATAACTGATATATAGAATTAAAGCTATTCTTACAGGTCTGGTCTTTATCTGTATTTTCTGTTCATTATTTGTTTTTTATTGATTTTATTTTTAGTGACATTCCCTATGACTTTTGCACCAGCAGCTAACTAGTCAGCAGTAATCTAAAACTGGCATAAAGTCATTATTCATTTAATTTTAGAACATTTTGGAATATGCCTATCCCTATATTTTCAGGAATCTCACCTTTATTTGAAGAATGTTTCTGAGAACCAGGGAGGCAGCAGCAGAACCGCATCGTCCTCTCTGAACTCTGTTGTCACTGGGCAGTGAGATAGCAAAGTGTGTCAGTTCAGCTCACTCAAGATAGTGTGGTGTTTTTCCCCCTGAAGCAATCCACTTACGAGTCAGTCTTGCCTGTGAATTAAAAGCTGAAAAGTTAGTAGCTGTGGATTCCAGTATTACAAATTTAGTAGCAGCAGCTTTCCTCCTATCCAAGGTTTAGCATATGACTTTCACAGTAACAAGGTTTGAATATTGATGAGTCTGCTGTTTGTAGCTGCTTCAATCAAAAATCATTCGAACTTGTGTTAGGTTTCAATGTGTTTGTTGCTTGATTCTGCCCTAGGAACTAGAAGATGTGAATAAATGGGGCCTCCAGGTTTTCAGAGTAGCTGAGTTATCAGGAAACAGACCTTTGACAGTCATCATGCATACCATTTTTCAGGCAAGTAGCAGATGTGCTGCTTTTTGCTTATCTCAGTGATTTTTCTGTGCTTTGAAATCTTAATTGTCTCTCTTTTCTTTTTCTAGGAACGGGACTTGCTAAAAACATTTAAGATTCCAGTGGACACTTTAATAACTTACTTAATGACCCTTGAAGACCATTACCATTCAGATGTGGCATATCACAACAACATACATGCTGCAGATGTTGTTCAGTCAACCCATGTCCTGCTATCAACACCAGCATTAGAGGTAAACTACGTTGAAGTGGGAAAGAGGCAGGCATGAGAAAAAGGGACATACCGAGACTCTTCTAAACTAAATATTATAGATCTTAGTTTCTGCAATATATTTTTTTAAATCTTAACACTTTTTCATGAATTGTTTTCTCTTAAAGATATTTTGTGAGGATCAAAGCTTATTTACATGCAAACACTGCAGAAAATGTCACATCTTTTTCTTCTTAAATCATGAAAGTTAGTGCTGTTGTAACCTTTTTCATTTCTAACACGATGCATAACTTGTTTCCACCATCTCGTTACTGATAAAACATCCTGTTCTGTCATTATTTCCCATGGGGGATTCTCAGTAACCACAGTTAGTGGATTGTTTATGAAAGATAGTGTTAAAATGGGAAAATGGGATTCCCTTAATATAGGGATCTAGGTTGAAAGTACAGTACTTCTTACTGAAAACACTTTTTTCATTGGTTAGTGATTGCCCTTTATGTTTCATGATTTTCTAGGCAGTGTTCACTGATTTGGAGATTCTTGCAGCAATTTTTGCGAGTGCGATACATGATGTAGATCATCCCGGGGTTTCAAACCAGTTTCTTATCAACACAAGTAAGTTTGATGTCCATTGATTTTTCTCAAAAATTTGCTGCAAGATCTGCACATAGCGTCTGAAAAATACATAGTTCAGTCCTTGTTTGCTGCTGTTACTTTATTAGTAAATAGATACGTGTTTATATTTTAAACTGGATATTATTTTGCATTTCTTGTAACTTCATGAAGGATTAACATAGTACTCTCCAACAAGAATTACTAAGACATGAACTGTAAGCCTGACACTGTTCCAGTGTATTGGATGTGGTCTCTCCTAGAAATCAGTTGGCTTACATTAAATCATAGAATCATAGAATCATAGAATAGTTAGGGTTGGAAAGGACATTAAGATCATCTAGTTCCAACCCCCCTGCCATGGGCAGGGGCACCTCACACTAAACCATGTCACCCTCTGTCCAACCTGGCCTTGAACACCGCCAGGGATGGAGCATTCACAACTTCCCTGGGCAGCCCATTCCAGTGCCTCACCACCCTCACAGTAAGAACTTCTTCTTATATCCAATGTAAACTTCCTGTGTTTAAGTTTTAACCTGTTACCCCTTGTCCTATCTCTACAGTCCGTAATGACGAGTCCCTCCCCAGCATCCCTATAGGCCCCCTTCAGATACTGGAACGCTGCTATGAAGTCTCCACGCAGCCTTCTTCGTGCAACATGTCCTTTTTATGTTGAGAACACCAGAACTTCACACAGTGCTCCAAGCTCTGTTGTCTTCTCATGAGGTCTCACGAGAGCATAGGGGCAGGATCACCTTCTTCGACCTGATGGTCATGCTCCTTTTGATGCAGCCCCGCACATAGTTGGCTTTCTCAGCTGCGAGTGCACACTGCAGCCGGCTCATGTTAAGTTTCTCAGCAGCCAACACCCCCAAGTCCTTCTCCTCAGGGCTGCTCTGAATCTCTTCTCTGCTCAACCTGTAGCTGTGCCTGGGATTGCTCCAACCCAGGTGTAGGACCTTGCACTTGGCATGGTTAAACTTCATGAGGTTGGCATCAGCCCACCTCACAAGCATGTCAAGGTCCATCTGGATGGCATTCCTTCCCTCCAGTGTATCAACCGAACCACACAGCTTGGTGTCATCGGCAAACTTGCTGAGGGCGCACTCAATCCCACTGTCCATGTCAGCAACAAAGATGTTGAACAAGACTGGTCCCAACACTGATCCCTGAGGACACCACTCGTTACTGGTCTTCAGCCGGATGTTGAGCCATTGACCACAAGTCTTTGAGTGTGGCCGTCCATCCAGTTCTTTATCCACTGAGTGGTCCATCTATCAAATTGATGTCTCTTCAATTTAGAGACAAGGAATACTAATAATCCAAGCACATAAGAAGAAAAAACTGCAGAAATGGAAGCATACCTAGGGTTGTGTATTTGGCCCATCTGGTTGCACATTCTTAGATACTGTCATTTCAGCACTTGAGTGAATCTATTGCACTGGTCCTAAAATAACATGACCTGAGTCAGCGGTATAGTTTGAAGGGAGCTCCTCTTCTGACTCATTGCTGCTCTACATTCAAATAAGATCTTCACTCCGGTTTAGCTGTCATCTAATTTTATTTCCCTTAATGGCCTAAGGGCCACCCTGTAGTGAAATTCGGTTTGATGACTCATCTGTATGGAGAAGGCTTGGGATTGACTTTAGATTTCTTGGTAACCAGTACAGTTCAACAGTATTGTCTAGGAAGAGAGGTGACTCAAGCCGTGTGCATGAAAGTGTGTAACACCTAAATGTTTGAGTAAAGTTTTATTTTTTTAATCACAGATTGAATACTGGGATATATTGGTGGCTCTGAGGTGCTGTGAGGAAACAGCAGATCTTTTTAGGTTTAAGCAGGATGACCAACTATTTGAAGGAGCAAGTAGTGGTACATAAAGCTTTCATTCTCTGAAGACAGTTGAACTTCAGCTATGTTAGGAGTGATTCTGATGCTGCTTATTTAATGCCTTAGAAGAAATGCCTTGTTTTTCTCAATTCAGCTTTTGATAGAGAAGGCTTCTGTGTCAATCAGGTACATCACTAACTGGAAGTGCTGTTGCCAGGCTGAAAGAAAAAGGGATTTTATCCCTGTGTGCACACATCCCCCTGTGTGCAAGGAGGAAACTGTAGGAACACCGATAAAGACCATCTAATTTAGGTCTCTTAAATGTTAAATTTTCCTAACTTGTAGAAGATAATTTGTTTCCATCAAGTTTTGTTTTCCAGTGAACCACACAATGTATTAATGTTTCATTAAGTTTAAGAATACGTTTTTAGAAAGCATGAAAGAATTAGAGGTACTTTAAAGTATGTACATTTTGTCATATTTCTGCTATTTTTTATAATTGCTTGCATGTGATTTCTGAATATTATTTCCCTCTTTAAGGATTTAGTCTCTTATGCACTTGTCTAAAAAGCTGATCTCTCTTGAATGGTATTAAAGAATAAACAAAGATGGATTATATTAGCGTCAGAGATGATGCTTATTTGATCAGTGTGACTCTGACCTTCCAGACAAATAATCTTGAAAAGCTTTTAATGTGTTACAGAGATTACTAAGGGAGAACTTTCTTTGATTTCCACCTCCTACAAGGTTGGGCACATTTTAGCTCTTGTCTGTAGCTTCAGCTCTTTCAAAGTATTTTGGCAGTGTCGAGTGTTTTGCAGTTGGGGCTCATCAGAAGGCTGTCTGAAAGGATAAACTAGTGTCTGACATACTTGTAAGTAGGCAAGCTTTGTAAATGTTCTGTGAAAAATGAAAGAGAAATCATTTGACAAATTCACTTTCTTTTTCCTTTTGCTATTATGGTTTTGTTGCCATCAGGATAAGGAAAGGTAGAGGAAACATTTCCTGATTCAAAAGATCGATCTAAGACAGCAGGAGAATAGATAATGAGACTAATGAAATCTGAAGAGTAGAGCTTTTACAGGCACCCCATTGAGCCAGAGGGATTTTAAAACAAAGCTGTTGAAGAAGAAGACAAAGAGTGGAATAGACTGACATATGGCTAGGTTTAGAATAGAACAGCTGTAATAAATAGAAATTAGTTTTGCATGTGACAAGTGTGATTACATTAAAAGTATTTGGTTTCTATGGCAGATTCATTTGCAAGCTGTGTTTTAAAACATACGTGAGCTGACATTGTGGTATCCCTGGGTAGAAATCAAAGCTGTGCAGATAATTGTCGTAGCTGCTTTTATTTGTTAGAGCTAGATGTTCAGCAGGTCTAGGAGAGCAATGCAGACCTCTGTGTGCCTAGGGAAGCATTGCTAGGAAGATGTATGTTACTCTCATAACATACTGAGTTAAGAATACTTCTGTTGGAGGAGGCAGCATTACAGCATCTGGTGCTGACCACACTCAAATATGTGGCAGTAGGCAAGGCCACTACTTGCATTTTCAAGCCACTGTTACCATTCTGCCAACCTCCTCTCAAAATATCCAGTTGTCATGGACTGATGACCCATTGGCTTAATCGGTGAGGTATCTGAGTGCTCTCGCTAGCTGCAGAAAGATGTGGTTTGAAAACCTAGATGTGTGCTCTGTGCCTGACCTGCAGCAAGGCCTTATCTGTATATTCCTGGGTCTGTGTGCTGGATAGCTGCAACTTGTCTTAAACAATGGAATTTTAGTAGTTGGGGTGGAGAAAGGCATGAGAAGAGAAAACTTCAGTATGTGTTTTAATTCAGGTGTAGTTACACATATATTTTCCATGTGACCTCATGCAGATATAAAAATGCATTCTGAAAAATACCTTCCTTGTATTTTTTATTGCTACTCCAGGCATGCTTCACTGCAAAGAGTTTTCTCTATTTTCCTCAAAGTACTTTGCCTTTATTTGTTGAGATGTTCAGTTATTAATCTGTAAGTTTTGATACTACAAGAACTCTCTTTCTAAAAGTTCTTCTGTAAATCTTTATGAATGTAATAAATTTAAAAAATCTTAAGGGGCTGGGGAGAACCACAGACTATAGTAACATTCTGCCCTGCAATTGTTATTGCAGATTCTGAACTTGCCTTGATGTACAATGACTCATCGGTACTGGAGAATCATCACTTAGCTGTGGGCTTCAAGCTGCTGCAGGAAGAAAATTGTGACATTTTCCAGAATTTGAGCAAAAAACAGAGGCAATCATTGAGGAAAATGGTCATTGACATTGTGAGTTCTGTTTGAGAGTCCCTCTTGCATAGTGCTAGCAAATTGAATAAATCACAGAAGCTTTTATGACAAATTGCATGTCATTAGACCCATAGCCAATGAAGTAAAAGTTTGAAGTTATATTGTCTTATCCTAACATGAATAGTGTGTTGTTTTCAGTTTCAGCAACAATCTATACCTTTTCAGAAGGTACACTATCCTCCTTCAAGCTGATTTTGTTCTGACATGTATACTATTTCACCACCACAATTATAAATTTACTGCTGATCTGATGATGAGTTTAGGCTGATCAGATCATTCTGAACAATCATTTTGTCATATTGTTAAACAAAATGAAAACTTACTGTTTTCAACACTGATGACATACATGGCTCACTTTTATAGTGTATGAAGACACAGGAAATAGTGGTTCACTGCAGAACTGTTTAAGTGTTTAAAGATATTTTAAAAATCAGTAATTTATGTAATGTTTATTTGTTTTTTTCTTTCAAGGTACTTGCAACAGACATGTCTAAGCATATGAATCTGTTGGCTGATTTAAAAACTATGGTTGAAACCAAAAAAGTGACCAGTTCTGGTGTCCTACTTCTTGATAACTATTCAGACAGAATTCAGGTAAGAAAGTTCACCTGCAAATGGTCGCTTATATCAATTTACATCCTCAGTTAACATTGGCCTGCCCATTCTCCAGCATGGATTAGGTCAGCTGTCTTTTCTTACACCATGACTCCCTGTGCTCCCTCTGAGAGTGACTCCTCCCTCTAGTGTGACTCTGAGAGAGTAATGAGGTACTAGAGTACTTCTGGACTAAACGAGGCTTTGGCCTTCTATTCAAATTACTGGCACCTGACTGGATGTTTTCTCAAAGATTTTCTGTGCCTTATACAGGCAGAAGCAACAGAAATGAGGTCATTCATGACTATTACTGCAAGTGTGAAAAATAGCTAAGTACCCAAGTTTTTGCTGTTTAGAATAAATATTGCACTACATATATTTTCAAGATTCTGTTTCACAGGCACCAAAAGTGTAAATGGAGCTGGTTTTTTTTGTTGTTTTTTTTTTTTTTTCCCAGTGTAATAACACCACAGGTGTTCAATCTTTTTTAGGTTCTTCAGAATATGGTGCACTGTGCAGATCTAAGCAATCCAACTAAGCCACTTGATCTCTACCGCCAATGGACAGACAGAATTATGGAGGAATTTTTTCGTCAGGGAGATCGGGAAAGAGAGAGGGGAATGGAGATAAGTCCCATGTGTGATAAGCACAATGCATCTGTAGAAAAATCACAGGTAATTGGTTTGAGTAGGCAGTTAAATAACACAATATGACAATTTAACAGAAAATCGTGGTCTGTAGCCTTGTTTTGATTGATTTCTGAATGCACTATTTCCTTTTTTTCTTCCTAGTAAATTAATTCAGCTCCTGAATAGGAAGAAAGGGGAGCTGAGCTTTTTTTAGTATGAAAATATAATGCATCACAGTGCCCTTGCTGAAGGGATTCCATCACTGCCATAACGTCAGATGTAGTATACATGTCAAAAAACTGTTGTACAGCCATTCATTAGGATTTCCTTCAGAAACAGAATTAAATATAAATCAGTTTGGCTCACTAAATGCAGTGGAGTTGTTTGGAATGAACAGTTCATTTGAGAGCAAATGCTTTCCAAGCCCTTATCCAATGTCCTGAATCAGACTTTTGAATGTGAAATGTAAATGTAAAATGTAAACATAAATGTAAAAGAACCTATTCACTACGTAAACCAGCATGACTTCCTTTCAGCCACCTTAGGGTAGCGTATCTAGTGTCTCTTATTAGTGCTGTATTTTTCATATTTTATGTGATTTAAAAGCATGGTTGTGAATAAGAGCTTATCCTCATTTTGTATTATTTGAAACAGGTGGGTTTTATAGACTATATTGTTCATCCTCTGTGGGAGACATGGGCAGATCTTGTTCACCCAGATGCCCAGGAAATCTTAGATACACTGGAGGACAATCGAGAATGGTACCAGAGCACAATCCCTCAAAGTCCTTCTCCTGCAGCTGATGACCAGGAAGAGAGCAAGCAGACCCAACCTGAAAAATTCCAGTTTGAACTAACACTGGAGGAAGATGGTGAGTCAGACACAGAAAAGGACAGTGGAAGTCAAGTAGAAGAAGACACCAGCTGCAGTGACTCTAAGACTCTTTGCACCCAGGATTCAGAATCCACTGAAATTCCTCTTGATGAGCAAGTAGGGGAAGAAGTGGAAGAGGAGGAGAATCAGACAGAACCTTGTGTGGTAGAAGACCATACTCCTAACACGTAGCAAGGAGGATGCAGTCCTTTCTCTCTTGCTCTCTTCCTTTCTTCTCTTTTCTTTCTTTTTATTTTCATTTTTCTCTCTTTTTTTTTTTTTTTTAATTGGGTAATGGATTTTGGAATGTCATCAGTAGCCTATGTCATATGACATAGACTACAATCATAGTCACAACTCAGTGTCATCTCCAGGAATGTTTGTTGATCAAAACTGATGTTGATGATTCAGTTTGGCACTCAGGAATATTGAAAAAGAAATTTTCACCTGCATGGCATCAGAAAGCAGGGGTGGGAACATCCATAAACTACATCTTCATAAGCTTTCCATTTGTGAGGTAGGATTAAATACAGCAAATGTTTTCAGAGGAGTAGCAGCTGTCGACCGAATGCTAATATGCTTTGATAGTTTTTGAATTCAAGCAAAGCATTGGATAATGTTTCTCACGAAAGGAAACAGATAAAAATAAACTGAGGTTCCTACTGGAAAACAAATGTCATAAATAATGAGACACAACATGATACTGTTACCAACAGGAAGATGAGCTATGAAAATTGCAAAATTTTTTAATTTTGTGATTTTGAATCTTCCTGATTGTGATTGAAAAAAGTGTGACCCAGTGGGTTGCACTAATCTCTGCATTTTGTATATTATGTAGAAGAGAGGCCTTTTGTAGAGCTTACTTTTATTATTAATTATACTGAGGTATTATATTTAAAGAAAAACACTTTCAGACTTCATCTGCCACTTTTTTTTTGTTGTTTTGTTGTTGTTTGTTTTGTTAGGTTTCTTTTGGTTTCTTTTTTGATTTTGTTTTTGTTTGTTTTTTTCTTTGTTTTTGTATTTTTTTCACAAAGAGTAACTTGCGAGTTTTCAGTACAAATCTGTGCTACACTGGATAATACTTTTTCTCCTTTCCTTATATTTTTTGCACCTTAGAATCTCATGGTAATATTCAGCTGTAAAAGTATTTTATATATTAGTGAATTCCATTAATATCCTTTGTTACATAAAACTTTTGCAGGATGATAGTTTGTTTTGTGTGTTAGTTTCATCACTATTTTCCCAAATGTATTACAGGAATTTATGTTTTGATTTTGCCCTTGTAGTGGCCTAATCCTGCCAATTCTGTCTTATTGCAACAAGTGGTCCCAGCAAAACCATCTTGAACCACTAAGACTAGGATTTGCAGGACTAGAGCTCTAGTAAAGTGGACTTAGAAAAGAAAGGTAATGAATTGTCATCTTAATACAAGAGCAGTTCTTCTGCTGTAAAATTTTGTCCCTCTGAAAAGTGATTCCCAGACTGTTTTTGGCTGGGATCTGTAGACTGCTAAATCAGAACAGGCTAATATAATGTATGAGATGTTTATTCTGGCAAAAAAAGCATTAGTGTAATATTTCAAATTTTGTCTCGGTCTTGACTTCTTATGTGTTAATAATCTAGTAAACCATTTGCTAATCTGTGTATAACATAATAGTAATGATAGCATTATTTTTTCATGTCTGTCTTGCAAGAAGAGCCAGGTCAGTCTTGTCTTTTTATGTTTTTAAATAATAACTAATGCATCAAGAGTTGTTGACTCCACATTATTTCAGTCTCAGACCTTTCCATTCTTTACCCAGCTTGTGCTGGGAATCCCGCTTTTCAGTTTGGTGGGTACTGAAAGCTTTTGTAACTTGAAAAGTTAAAGAGAGGTAGGAGTTCATATTTGTCATTTTCCACTCTTGTTATTTCCTCCTCTTGCAGGTTGGAACATATAAGATGGGAAATAGTAGCTTAGGGAAGCTAGCAGACCCCTCCTCTAAAATTTTTGTAAAATGTTAATGTGAAGATGATTTCTTAAAAAAAGAAGATAGCAACAGCCATTATTTCTCCTTTGGATTCATTTTGTAATAAGTTAGCAGATATGAATATGGGGGAAGGGCGGTTAAGTGTCTGAGATCTAGAATAAAAATGATTGGTTAACATTTTAGGTTTTAAATGTATTTTGTGTTTTTCTATATCCAGGTCATAGTTTCTTTAGCCCTCACAGGGTTTTAGCGCAGAGGATACTGAAGGAGGAAAGAGAATACAGAGAACTCATGTTTTTTTCTCAGTTTTTGACTTTTCTTCATCATTTCTTCCTAAACCAATCCATTTAAAAGTCCTTTCAGTCCCCAAGAGTGCCTGGAACCTTAATAATGGAAAAGCAATATGAATTCTGAAATAACCAATAGGGTTTTTTTGAAGACGTTTTGTATCTGCACTAATTGAAAGTAAATGAAGAGAATGACATTATATTGTGAGAAACGCATTCATGTATACGGACAATCGGAGAAAAGATAACGTTTCTTAGAACTGGGGATATAATGCATTGTACAATCTTTTTCCTCTTTTGCCAAAGTGTGTTTTAGCATTGTACACTGCTTTAAAACAAAACAACTTACAAGTGGCTTTATGTGTTTTGAATATTTTTGCCATAAAAAAAATAATGCAGTGAGTAGCTATTGAATGTGTGTGTGGGAAGAAAATTCACCTTGCTTGTAACAGTACACTTTAGCTTGCAAGTTACTGTACTTAATAATGCTGTATTTGAATTCTTAAATTGTTTTGTGTTATTAAAATGATAATGAAAGAATATAAATAGAACAAATAGCATTCAGAAGTTTAAAACACTTGACTGAAATGGATTTTACAGAAAGCTTTGACAGTTCTTTCTAAACACGTTATTTATTTTATTTGTGCCATGAGTTTTTCTCACCAAATGCCCTTACCTGTAATACAGTCTTGTTTGTCTGTTTACAACCATGTATTTATTGTAATGTATATACTGTAATGTTAACTGTAAATTATCAGTTCTTACTATAACATCATCCTTCTCCGGATGGTGTTGCTATCTTTGGAAACTCTTGGCAAGAGAATGATGATTGTGTTATACATATTACCCCCCCCCCTTTTTTTTTTTTCTTCTTAATATGTTCAGTGTCACCTTAGAGCTTGTTTATGGAAGATTCAAGAAAAGTATAAAGTATGTAAACATGTATCAATTAAAAAAGCTGCAGGTCTTTGGTCCCAGGGCTGTGCCTTAACTTAAAAAATATATTTTCCTTCTGTTTGCTGCATTTGAAACTAAGGTAGCCATGGGGCTAGGGCTGGGCATTTCTATCATATTTTAGTTCCTGACTGATGGGGTTACCTGCACAAGCTAATACGCGTGATACTACGATGAACTTTCGTTCAAGAGCCTACTGGAAGTTCAAGGTTTTCCAGACACCTGGCAATATAATTGTATTGCTTCTCCGATTATCCTTTTACAGCCTATCACTGGGGATAATTGCAACCAATTTTTGCTCCTTAAAAAAAATAAAAATTGATGCTGTATTCGGTACTGAATTTCTCAGAAACAGCTTTGGAAAGCATCTCTAATAAGCGCTTGATTTTATATGGGTATAACGCATACACTTTTACAATCATCTGTAACATCCCTTTTTATTCAGTAGCACAAATTATCACATATACACAGAATCCATAAAGCAGAACAAAAGACAGCTTTAATTTTTTAAATACTTTCCAACACCAATATTAGTGTTAAAACAGCCAAAGTTTTATTATATATAAATATGTATAAGGCTTTGTTCAAGTGTGTAGAGCATAATGCACTTAGATCTACGGGAGTGTGGTAAACCTTTAGATCTTTCAATAACACTGGTATTAAGTTTGCGGGTTGGACTGAGCATCTTTTGCTGTTTGTTTGACTTGTCATGTTGTTCCAGAGGACTTGGAGCTGATGACTTTGTCAGAGTGAGGTTAACACCTCTCCTCCATTCCAGCGATGCCCAGCCCTTGTAGCATGCAACTTCTCTGGGAAAGGAGTCTTTTTCAGTGAAAAACAAAGCCTCCCTTTGGACACAAACTGTAGATTTTAGCAGCCCTGGCCCAAAGGAAATTGATTGCTTATGTTTAGAATGGTATAAAATGGATACTGCAACAACAGAAGTCCTGAATAGGTTTGTTTGGTTTTTTTGGTTACTCTTATAATTTCATTATTCTTTGGGGATGTCTTGAGAGTGGCAACTTGTGTGAACATTGCACATGACTATTCTTTCACTCGTTTCTTAGCCTCTCTACTGCATAGGGGATAGTAATGTACATCAGTACCTTCATATGAAATTTTATATGCAATGGAAATAAAAGCATGGTTTGATTCTGCCTAGTTACTTTTATCGGATTTTTCTTTTGCAAGTGAAATATTTTTTACATACATTGCATAGTTGTGACATCTGAAGAGACAGCATATTTACAGAATAGTTGTCATCATACTGTTTTGCGTAGATAATACAAAATAAATATAGGGGCTAATCAGCAAAGTCAATTAAATGTAGTATTTCATAAAGAAGTCTGACCCACAAAGGTGCTGTACAGTTATATAGAAAGGCATACAGTTTCAGTTTTTATGAAATTTTACCATTGTCTTCAGTGGCAAAAGCAGCCTATCCTGAGAGAATAAAACTTCAGGTTTAAAGAAACTGAAAGAGTACAGATTGCCTAGAGGAGCAATACTCTGGGATACCAAATAAACCCCACCAGTACCATAGTTAAATATTGACCAGACAACCCTGGTTCTAAGTAAGTTGGTGATAAATTATTTTTTAATATAATAAATTATAGTTGTCTTGAGTAAGAATGTGGTCTTAATGCAGGTCCAGCTGCTGAAGTGAGTTTCATGCACATCTCCTTGTGAGAGTGGTGGTCTTGTTGTTTGTTTGCTTAACTGAAATTAGTTTCTGATTGAATACAAAAAAGATTATGTCAATTTTTTCTCAAGTTGCTTAAAGTCTTTTGATTTGGAGTTAATTTACAAGGAATACCCATCCTTAGAACCCCTTTTTAATCACACCGTGGTGGCAGAAGAGGCTGATGAATGCTTTGCTTTGCACAGGAAGGCAGATAAACTGGGTAGTAGTGCCTGTCACTCTTCACAGGCTCATCCTCACGTATTCCCAGTGGCCCTAATGGGAAAATGGTTTACATACATCATGGCTATTATAAAGGGAAACAGAAATCTCATATTTGTGTTGGCACTACTACAGGCTTTTCGGTAAGCAGCTCGGGTACCACAGCTGTGCATATGGTAAGCCTGAAACTGGCAAGATTAGCCTACTGCTTCCTACATCCTCAGGCAGCAGTCTTTGTCCATGGCAATAGTGCATCAGAATAGGCAAGTTTCAGAGCAAAGCCAGAATGAATCCTGTGTTTCACTGCAGCCAGATGCTGCTCTAGGAATTGAATGCATTTTTGAACAAATGACTCCTCTATTTCCTAATGAGACAAATAGTCTGAATAGCTGGAGTTTCTTTTCTTTATATGCAGCAGAGAGATCAAGCAGAAGTCACAGCTGCTAGGACATGCAGTGTTCACTGGAATGACTAGCCCAGTTTCTCCACCAGCTGAGAATAATTTTGCTTAATTTCCCAGGGAAAAAAAAATAATAAAAAAATAAATTGCTTAGAGGTGTTGTAAAAGCCTTAAAAGCCTTTAGTTAGTTCAGTTGAGTTTGGTTTGCAGGGTGAAGAAAATAGCCAGTTTCCTCCTGTCAAACTAGTTGAGCTATCTGCAGAGAGAATAAAGGGGGATAGGAAGTCCAAGCAGAAATCAGTGACAAATCAGGAATAAAACCTGGGCAGAGGAAAATAAACTCCAACTAAAATAATATTAAAGGCAACCCTGGGCCTGGAGTTTGATTCTGTCTCATTTCATAAGGTACAAAGCTATAATTTTTTTTGCTTCTTCATAAAGCAAA